TTGTTCACCTGAGTGGTTCTTAGAACATTTCCAAGAATGTAACAGTAATTTGAGTAAGTTTTCTTTGAGCTTGTTCAAAACCTTGCCAAGTATCTTATGCTCAAAGCCAGTATCTTTAGCTCCAAGCTAAAACTCCCTCCACATAACCATGTTCTAACCTCCAAATCACAGTCTTCCCCCATGAAATCCAAATCTTAAAAAAAAGGTACATGACATTCAACACTATAAATGATAAATTTCAACAACAGCAACAAAAGCAGAGCCACTATGAAGCCTCCTTGTTTACAGATCAGAACCAAGACGGCAATCCTGAATCGTGCCATCCCTCTTAGAGGTGCCACTCTCTACAGCCAACTCCTTTTGTTCCTGGATTCCAGATTAGTACCACCTCTAAAATTTATTTATTTATGACTTCAAAAATCAATACTTATGGTCCTTTCAAGGTCATTTTTGGACATAAGCCTAGTGGTGAAAATTTTTCATCAAAAATTGGACATACTTCCAGCTGAGGCTGAACAAGCAATGCCAACTTAAGCTCCCACAATGTAAACAAGTGTCCAAAATCTATGGACACTTAATAAGTGGTTTTTACTGTTAAAAATGGTCCCAAAACAAAGGGCTTCTAGTGTGCTTCAAAGGTTGTCACATGCCTTGCACAGAACACGCATGTCATAAATTTCATATATTGAACATTAGTTATAGTCCAGTTGGCCATGATTCAATACTAGAGAATCAATTATTATATATGGCAAACAAAAACACACATACAACAAGGTTACAGATCAATCAGTTGGTAAAAAGAAAATGTAACCGGAGGCTTACAGGTACTTAACCTTGTTTTTTTGTTTTTTTTTTTTTTTCCTAGAGGCAATGATTCAGTATTATAACAGAGCTTATAACAACTTTATAGACTACAACTATCACAACTGCTGAAACATGTACTAACTCTGTATGTAATAAACACATTAAAGGTAGAGCATTTTACCTAGTGAATCATTTTCTCCAAACTCAAGGAAAAAAAAAAAAAAAAGCTGCATAGGGTAACGTTGGCAAAGACTATTGACAGTATTAGTTTGTTTACATACTAAAAAGATTAGAATAAGGGGCTGGGGAGATGGCTCAGTATTATAAGTGCTTGCCTGGTAAGCACAAGGGCCTCAGTTCAATCCCCAGTTCTGCCAAAAAAAAAAAAAAAAAAAGATTAGAATACTACAAAGCAAAGAAAATGCATATCACATCCCCAGGACAAAGATCAAGTGGATGGCACACAAGATGATTCAATGGGTAGGAGTTGATAATATACTCACTGATAGTATAAGTACAGAGGTTTAAATGAGGGCCTTCACACAGCTATATCCCCAGCCCTTTTTCATTTTGGGGGAGTCTCACTAAGCGGCTAAATTAGCCAGGTTGGGCTTGAATTTCCAATCCTCCCACTTCAGCCTTTCAGAATGCTGGGAGTACACACCAGTATGTTTGGCCATTTTTATTATTTTAACATCTTTAAACTACAGCCACTTTTAAAAAACTATTAATAATATAATAATAAGTGCATTTTTTCAATTTATTTCTTTTATTATTATTTTTTTTTGTGGTTCCAGGGATCAAACTCAGGGCCCTGCGCTTGCCGGGCAAGCACTTATTCCAGCTATCTCCCCAGCCCCTAAGTGCATAACTTTTACTGGTAGCGCTGTCAATTCTGTTGATGTACATGACCCTAAAAATGTTGGGAGATCAATACTTGTAAAGGTTCAAAGTCAATAGGTGAAAAACTTCATTCCAGAAGGACCTGCCATGCCTTGCCCTGAGGGACAGGGCTGGTGGCTTTGAGAACAGATGCAGTGGCAACATCTAAGAAAAGCTGGGTTCAACTGGTATTTGTCTCCCAACCATGACAATCCTCACCCAGGACATGCCCCAGGCATTGGTTTCTCTTATGAGTAATTAGTCAAAAAAAAAAAAAAAAAAAAAAAGTAATTAGTCGATCACTAGATGACCCTAGCCAGCTATCCATCCTCCTCTAGATATTTCTATGACTCAGAAAATAAGCCTAATAGCCAGGCTTGGTGGAGCTGATCTGAAATTCCAGGTACACAGGAGACAAAGAATGAAACATTCAAGGTCAGGATGGGCCACTTAGCAAGATTCTGTCTCTAAACTAAATTGAAGGGCTGGAGGTGCAGGTCAATGGTAGAGCTCGTTTAGCTTGTGGGAGGGCTCTGGGGTTTGATCCTCAGCAACAACAAAAAAAAAGAGGAGAAGAAAGTAAAATCATTGTTGATGTTTTCCTGGAATCTCAGGGCTAAAGGTATGAACTGACAGAGCAACAAATTAACAGAAAACACCATCTTCTAGAGGTTCTATGAAATCTGAAATATCCTGAACTGTTGATTTATATTATATAGTTACGTGGCATTTAAACACATCTAACTGTAAGTGCTCAGCAAAAAGGAGGAAAAGGGGGGAAAAAAGTGCTAGCAATTTGTCTGCCACTGCACGCAAGGAGGTACTCCTTTCCCAGCAATAGCTTCCCTTCCCTAGGGTCTTGCAGGTTAAGTAGCAGTATAAGGCTGATGTTGACGTACTATTCATATTTTTTTATCACCTATTCCCAAATCAATTATTTCATGTGAGGTTCAAGAGAAGCAGCAGTACGTTTCAACACTTAAGAAAAAACTGGCTGTAACTGATTTCCTTAAACAAGGAAAATCAGTCCGTAAAGAGTACTGACTTCCTATGGGCACTTCAGGGGAAATTTCTGGGGAACCCTACTTGGATTTGCACAGGACCCTCTAACTCTAGAACTAAACACACAGGTATGGTAAAGCTCATCCATAATTATCCTGGGTCAAGGGTCCACACCTAAACCTATCACCAAGAAGCAGTACCAAGTGTAATTTGTCCCCATATACTTTTATAGGACTTTATGCTGATTGAAGAGCTCACATATCAACTGTGCCATTTAACATACACAGCAGTCAAGAAAAGAAGCCTGGAGAAACACTGTGCACCCATTACAGAGGCTGAGTGCAATAATGAAGTTTCTGCTAAGACAACTTAGGTTCAAACCCCAGGGATCTGTTCAACTTTTCAGAACCTTAATCAGCAAAATGAATAGGGTACGTACCTCAGTTTCCTGGCCTTATTCCACAGAACAAGTGTACATCCCTACTCTCTTAATGCTCAAAGCAGAACATATTTCAGTCTCATGCTTAAAAGTTCAAGGATATAATTCAACATCTTTTTAAAATGTTCAAAAACTAAGTCCTTGAGGTGCTTCCCGTTCCTGTAAACATGAAATTCCACTCTATTGAAGATTTACAAATTGTGTGCACATACATAAGACAAGCTTTAAGAAGGCAATAAATGAATCTAGTTGAGTACATTCTGACTAGCACTTCCCAAGGGTGGGCTTGATGGAATCTTTGGGCATATTATCACAGACCTAACATTCTTTTTTTTCTAACATTCTTAACATACTTTTAGAAATACTGGTTTTGATAAATTCAGGGCACGAGAACTTTTTTTTGTAATTTTTTAATGTATTTTAATACAGGGTCTCACTACACAGATTGGACTCGTAGTGATCCTCCTGTTTTCAGCCTCCCAAGCACCGGAATTACAGGCATGCGCCACCATGCTGTCTCAATCCAAGTCTCAGCACACCCTGGGAACCGGGCTAGCACCGCAAGCACTGGGGATTGGAAAGAAATTATTCTTTTAAGCAACATTCCATTATCATCCTTCTGCAGCCTGCCGTGTATTTGCATACAGTCTGGTGTCAAAACTAGGTCATTATTTTCACATTACTTAAATCAGCCACAAGGATTCCCACAAGTGGCTCTTAAAGTCACCTGGCAGAAAAAAACAGCAGGAGACAAACCCGGGAGAGGGCTTTTATGTTTCTGTTTCAAAACTGATTCGAATGAGATTTCCCCTTCTCCAAAATCAACTTTCCAAGAACGGTATACATCTAATTAATGCCACACCACCGTCTCTGTCATTATCCATTTTCCTCATGATGGACAGCAAGAGAGCTAGAGTGAAGCTAGTGAGCTGTGAAGTATAAACCACAGAAATCAGAAATCTTTTTTCTGTAAGTATGCTTTACATCTGGAGTCCCAAAGTGTGTATAAATTCTGGTGGCTCTTTTGTTTTTCTGTTTTTGTTCTTGGTACCAGGGGTCGAACTCAGGACCTTGCACTTGTCAGGCAAGTGCTTGTGGTGCTGAGTCATTTCCCCAGCCTCTAAATTCTGTATTATTACCTACACTGAGAAAACCATTCTTCACAGGCATTTTTTTAAAAATAAAATTTAAAACATGCTGCTCAGTTTCCTCGACCATAGAGATCTTTTCTACTGTAGCTCTTGACTTTTATACAAGCTCATTTGCACCTGAAATGAATTCTTATACCTCTGGAAGCTGAATTACAAGAACACAAGGCCTAAGGAACATTTTTTAAAGCTACACTAATATTTGGTATTTATTCTGACAGAGTACTGAACAAAAGAAGCCCGTTATGATGTAAAGCAGTAAGCTTGTGAGCTGCATGCACGCAATTACCAAAAGGAATGCTTTGAATAAAAGCTTCAAGCTTTGTGGTTTCGTGAGGAAAATGCGCGGAGCCTAGGAGTTTCTCCAAGCCAAGGCTGTGGACCACTGATCGCAGGAGCGCAGAGCGGGGCCTCGCAGCAGGAAGGAGGGCAGGACCCACACGCCGGGGCGGCACCTCCAGCTGCACACTGCCCACGCGGGGAGCCAGTCCCACGGGCCCCGACGTCTCGTCGGCCGCCTCGCCCCTCCGGCGCGGGTACGCCGAGCACGCTCACCTGCGTGGCAAGGGGCGCGCACAGGTCGCCGGCGTGCTCTGCGGCCAGCTCCATCCCTCCTGCCCACCTGCATCCACTCACTAGCAAGGACAGGACCGCTCGCCCGCTCTCTCCCCACGTCCCCGTTCCGCCGCGTGCACGGAGTCCACCCGGTGCCTTCCGACCCTCACCTTCACGAAAGCAATCGGCGTCGTGGTCCCTTCGATATCCAGCAGGATCGCGGTGACCTCGGCGGGCACCGAGAGCCCGACCATCTCCTCGCGGACGAGGCTAGCTCTGCCCTCCCGGAGCCCCACAACCACCCCGCAGGCGACGCGGCGGCCGGGACCGCGGGGGCGGGGCGGGGCGGAGCCGAGGGGAGCCGGCGCCCA